GGCGTTCATGTTTAATCCAGTTGGAATCGTGGCTGAACTTCGATAAAGTTGTGTCATGAGAACTAATGAAGTAGGTATGTCACATCACTAAGACTAAGTAAATCTAATTTGGAATGATATTCCATTTTTAAAGCTATTCTAAGTAGAAAAGAAAAACAAAAGAAAGTGAGTTGCCTTGTGACTTTTTTTAACTTGATGTCAACGGCTTTTGACTCGGAAAAGTTTTATCTTTGACTATCACTAATGAGGCTATGCATGCCTATTTTACAATGCTATTCCATGATCAAACTTAAAACAACCCAACCCAAAAAAAATAACAGGAAAGTGTTTAGGGATTTTATAGTATATTAGTTTTGTATTTTTATCCCGCTCTTTTGCTTAAAAGCTATATAAGCGGGCTTATGCCATCGCCTCTGTGTCTGTCTGTCCGTTCCCCAAGAAGGACGTGACCTAGAGGTCTGAAATTTTCAGGGTATTATTGTTGTCACTTCTGGACAACGAAACCACGGAGTAAGAATATATGGAGGACCGGCTGTGGTCGCGCGGCGGTTCCCCGGCCGCGTCCAGGGACAAACTCCGCCGTGCGCAGCGCTGCAGTCGCATTGGCGAGAGCCTCGGGCGGCGCTGCGCTGGGCGCCTACGGGCGGAGCGCGCCGCGAGCGCTTTAACGCGGCGGCGCTCCTGGGCCGTTCATTGCACAAGTGGGGAGACCTCGGGTACTTACAGTAAAAAGTTCAAGCTTTCCAACGGTATCAATATTTTTTCAATGCGACCAATACTTTCCGAACAGCGGCCTGAGAAAGAGAGACGTGCGGCGCGCAGCGGCTCCCGCTGCAGCGCGCGCCCCGCTAATCTTGGCTGTAGCTCTTAAACCGTTGAAGATAGTCAGGTGGTGTAAGCGAACCGATTGTAGAGCAAAGTTCAAGCTTTCAGACCGTGTTCACGTTTTTCCGATCCGACCCACGTAGCTCCGGCTGGACCGCCGCGAACACCGCGCGGCCGGGGCGGCTGCGCTGTAGGTCCTGGTCTCCGACCGCACCGGCCGACGTGCCGGGGAGCGAGCGTAGATATTCTTGGCTGTAGCTCTTAAACCGTTGAAGATAGTCAGGTAGTGTAAGCAAGCCGATTGTAGACCAAAGTTCAAGCTTTCAGACCGTGTTCACGTTTTTCCGATCCGACCCACGCAGCTCCGGCTGGACCGCCGCGAACACCGCCCGGCCGGGCCGGCTGCCTGCGCTGCGACGCGTGCCTTCGGGAGGGCCTGGCTCCCCAGTGCGGCCGCGGCCACTGCGGAGCGATCAGCTGATCAGCTGATGGGGCTGAGGCAGCTGATGGTAACGAAGCGTTTTCTGAGTTGTGGGTTTGGGCTTTGTTTTGACGTCTGTAACTGCTGATGGATAAAAATGTACTCCATGAAGTGCAAAGTTGTGAGGCCAAGAAAAATGTACAATTTGCCGTGGATTTGCAAGGTGACTAAACATACTCTGTTTACATTGTAATTTACAGGAGATTTGTCGTGTGTGAGGTTGTTTTTTCTTGTATCATTTTTAGAATCGTGGAGGACCGAAAGAAGCTAACTTGTTTATTGCTGAAAAGAAACTTTACCTCAGAAATGACTCCCCCATGCAATTTGGATGCATGGAAAACAATAGGAGTGGACAAAGCTCTAATTGAATGGAATACAGGTAAAGTATGTCAGGTTAGGTTACTTAAAAATCTTACAAACAGAGAATTACATTCAGTAAAATATGTACAATAAAATATGACCGATACTTCTTAAGTCAGGTGAGCTTCCTTTATGAGTCTCTTTCTTGCTCTGACAGCTCGTTTTGATTTGCTGGCTTCCTTGTTCCACTCTCTACAAAAGAAGTGCATTCGTGTAATTAAATAAAATTTCATAACTGATCTTGTCACTTCTCTGCAGTGCTCAGGACAACCGATTGGTTGTATTTCAACAGCCTCTAATCGGTCCATAACATGAAATATAAAATTTCTGTTTACATCAGAGTCCTTATATGTCTGGAGTAACTGATAC